GGAGGGGCGAGACGGGGCGAGGAGAGCGGGGGGTGTTGGTGGGGGGGAGCCCAGGCCAGGATGGCACCCGGGCGCAGGGCCTCCCTCGGTCGCTGTCCCCCTTGCTGCGCAGACCCCGGTGCGCCGGAGGGCCCGCCGCGCGCTCCCCTGCGCCTGCTGCTGGAAGGGTCGCGCGCCCCTCCTCTGCAAGTGACCCTGGGAGCCCTGGGGCCGCTAAGAGGCTGCCGTGGCCACGAGGGGTGACAGGTTCTCTTCTTGTACGCCGAGCTGCGCTCGCCCTCGGCACTCAGGACGGGAGCCGCAGCCCAGGAAAGCCGGCGGGGGCCCTGGCTTCTAGGCCAGCCTGGCTTCTTGCCACCTGCCCGACCTTGGGCAGGTCACCTCCGGCTCTGGGTTCCTCGCCTGTAAGGAGGGAGAAGCTTGGACTGCAGGTCTCTCAGCTCTTTGCCCCCTAATTGTCAATGTCTGCGTCTGTAGAATGGGCCTATGAAGAGACTTTCTGCCTCATAGGGTTAAGAGGATTAAATGAGATAAAGCACATGGAGGGCAGAATCTGGTGCATACTGAGCACTCAAAAGTGGTTATCATTATAATGAGGTTAGGGGACATCCCTGAGAATCTCTCCTTTTCCTTCCATGGACCCTGGGGCAGAACCAGGGGAACTGTCCTGTGTTCTGATCCTCTGGGGAGGGGCTTGGCCTTCTTAGTCCAAAACCTTTGCCCCTCTCTGGGTGGAGGACAGGAGAATGGAAAGGGGGAGACTAAGATGCGACCCCTGCACTCCTGGTCAGGAGCTCCCGTGGCAGAGGGAAGTCGTACCCATTTTACAAAGAGACTCACTGAGGCTCAGAAAGGGAAAGGGTCTGCCCCAATGCATCCTGGTGGGCAATGGGTGGGCTGGGGTAGTTTAGGCTGTAGTTCCCAGGCCCCCCTCCCCACAGACTTCAGGCTCTCTCAGGAGTGGGAGGGCTCAGGCCTGTGCTGGGGTCTCTGGAATTTGGGCAGGCAGAAGGCAGAGAGCCTGGGGGCAGGACAGAGCAGGACCACCTTCTCTCTTCAGCAACCCGCCAGAGCTATGGTTTCCACTCCTGCTTCTAACAGTCTCCGCTTTGCCCTGTTCCAGATGTTGAGGCCCTGGGATAATCAGTTAGCCACCCTGGGCCTCAGTTTGCTTATCCGTAAAGTGGGGATACCCACCAGGGGCTGGGCAGCCAAAGAGGGTCTGAAGGGCACCTCGGTTCTTCCCTCTTCCTTCTGGGCTGGCCAGCCCTTCTTCCCGGCGGGGGGGGGGGGGGGGGGGGGGGGGGGCTGGGGCCGTGCGGTCTCAGGTGGAGCTCCAGGAAGTCAGCTTCGTGGGGGGGGGGGGGGTTGAGGCAGGGCGACCGCGTCCCAGGACCTGGCCTGAGCAATGCCTCCCCATGCCCTCCCCGCAGCCACCCGCGAATCGGCCTTCGTGCACGCCATCGCCTCGGCCGGAGTGGCCTTCGCCGTCACGCGCTCCTGTGCCGAGGGCACCTCCACCATCTGCGGCTGCGACTCGCATCATAAGGGGCCACCCGGCGAGGGCTGGAAGTGGGGCGGCTGCAGCGAGGACGCCGACTTCGGGGTGCTGGTGTCCCGGGAGTTTGCGGACGCGCGTGAAAACAGGCCGGACGCGCGCTCGGCTATGAACAAGCACAACAACGAGGCGGGCCGCACGGTGAGCCACGGCCGCCCTTGTCCCAACCCTGCCCGGGACCCTGTCCCTGCCCCCCCCCCCCCCCGCGATGGCCTCGCCCCGGCCCCGCCCTGCTCCTTCCAGTGGCCCTTGTGCGTCCTGGGTTCCCTTGCTTTCCTCTTTCCCCATGGCCAGGCTTAGCGCCTACCCACACCCCACAGTAACCCTTTCTGTTCACCCTCTTTTCTGCTTGGACTGTCCCTGGTCTCTGCCAGCCCCGGGGATGCGTCAGCCTGGGAGTGTGGCCGCCCCATGGAGCAGGTACCGGGCCAGCCCATCCTGTGCACTTGGGCTGCCCGTGTAGGGCTGTGAAGACCTGTGGGCCTGTCTTTGAATTCAGCCTCCACCTTTTCCTAGGTTGTTTGACCTAGGGTGACTCACTTAAGCTCCCAGCCTCAGTTTCTCCATCTGTTAAACGGGGACAGTAATCCCTGTTTTGAATGGCTTTGAGGAATGGATGCGATTTCTGACAATACTTAGGGTCAGAAGGGGAGGGAAACAATGGTCACCATTCTTTAGGTCCGTGCCTCAGTTCTCTTCCTGTCTCCAGTTTTCTTACTGGCACAGGGCAGGAAGGGAGGAGGCTCCAGGGTTGGGGGCAGGGGAGGGCAGAGTGGGAAGGTCTAGATGTGCTCCCGGGTGGGGTCAGTCTGGGGGCCAGCTGCTGCTCCTCTTTCCAGACCATACTGGACCACATGCACCTCAAGTGCAAGTGCCACGGGCTGTCGGGCAGCTGCGAGGTGAAGACGTGCTGGTGGGCCCAGCCCGACTTCCGCGCCATCGGCGACTTCCTCAAGGACAAGTACGACAGCGCCTCGGAGATGGTGGTGGAGAAGCACCGCGAGTCCCGCGGCTGGGTGGAGACCCTCCGCGCCAAGTACGCGCTCTTCAAGCCGCCCACCGAGAGGGACCTGGTCTACTACGAGAACTCCCCCAACTTTTGTGAGCCCAACCCCGAGACGGGCTCCTTTGGCACCAGAGACCGGACTTGCAATGTCACTTCCCACGGCATCGATGGCTGCGACCTGCTCTGCTGTGGCCGCGGCCACAACACGAGGACGGAGAAGCGGAAGGAGAAATGCCACTGCATCTTCCACTGGTGCTGCTACGTGAGCTGCCAGGAGTGCGTCCGCATCTACGACGTGCACACCTGCAAGTAGGGAGCCAGGTAGGGTGGCGCGGGTTGGAGGGCTGGGGGCTTTGGTGCAGGGGCCTGGGTTTGCCCATCAAGGATGATGACCCCTTTCTCTGTCTGAGCTATCCAAGACACACAAGTTCCCCCAGCCAAAATAGGAAGCCAGGATTTCCCAAGCTTCCGTGGGAATGGTCCTGGGTGGATTCACACAAAGCACGGATAATAACCAAGTGTGTGCACATGAGGCTGCAAGCCGTTGATTAAAATTGTTATACAAGTTAGTAAATTACAAGCCTGGTCAAATTTTTGCATGGCCACTGGTTATTATTATTGAGCATTTGGGGAGCCAGAGGAGGGACAGGGGATTGGAATCTGGACACCTGACTTCCGCTCCTGGTTTTGACTCTGACCCCTAACTTCCTGTTCTTTCACTTCTCTGGGGCTCAGTTTTCTTGCTGTAAAATGAGGAGGTTAAAATACTTGAAATGGTCAGCTGAAGTCTCTTCCACCCCTGGGGCAGAGTCATTTTGCATCCACCTTGAACTCAGAGGGCAAGATTTTGCACAAGCATGAATCCTACCGACCTCAAGGAGGTGGGTGTGGGGAAGCGGAGTGTAAGCCCATATCCTGACAGATCTGAAGCCTGGGTGGAGTGGGGTGCACTCTCACCCAGTTTATGGACGGTGATGGGGAGGAGGAGCGATTCAAGTTCAGAGTGACGGCTGTGAGTAAGCAGGGATCAAAGGCTGGAGGATTATGTTCCCAAGCTTCCCAGAGGTGGCCTGCGTGGGAGACACTGCCTGGCCGTTGGATCTGTGGGTCCCCAGGAGAGGTCAAGACTGCCGTAGAGTGGCCTAGTCTTGGAGGTGGAAGCTTTCTAAGGCAGGCGTGCCCTTTCTTCCTTCTCTGCCCTGAGAAGGAGTCTCGTATGTAGAGTCATAAGCCCTGGTCCAGCTTCCACCACTTGCTAACTGTGTGACCCAAACAAGCTCGTCTTCACACCCTGTCTCCTCATCTGCCATCCTCCCCAGAGGTGGTGTGAGGAACAAGTGAAAGGACACCGGGGCCAGTGCTTGGTTCATTCCAAGGGACTCGCCTGCCTGGGTCATCGCTGGTTGAGGCTGTGTTGGGGAGATACCCCACCGGGCGATGCGGTTCCACACAGGGCACCTCAGAGCTGGCGGCGCACGTCCAAGCTGTGTGGGACTGGGGAGGGTCCGGCCTCTCTGAGGCATGGGGAGAGCTCTGGTTGAGGGGTAACTCCCCCAGGCCATCTGGGAAGCCCCTCGGTGTGGCTCACATCCTGGCAGGGACAGAGTCCAGAAAGGCAGCAGAAGGCACCACCTTGCTTGGTATCTGACTGAAAGCAGCGTGGTGAGTGGAAAGGGGACACAGGTGGTCCCAGCTCCACTACTCAGCAGCCGTCAGAGCTGGGAAGCCCAGTTTCCCCATCTGGACAGTGGTGGTGATGGTGGAGGCCAGCAGAATTTTTATGAGGCTCAAGTGAGCTAACAGATGTGAACGCTCGTCTGAATGTAGTACTAATAGAAAGTGTGATAAGTGCCATCAGAGAGCCGTGACATGAGGGCGGTCCTTGTGCAATGAAATGGTGTCATCACTTGGGCAGTGCCATTTCCTGCTTTTCAAAATGGTAGAAGAAAACTCACAGGCTCACGGTGGCACATCAAAGTGGAAGGAATGTTTGAAAACCACAGTGGCCACCTTCCTCTGATGTCCACTATGGCCAGAGGCAGCACCGTGTCCCCACTATCAAGCAGGACATAGGTCTGGCCATTCTGAGAGGGGGCTGTGGGGAACTAACACTGGATACGCCATTTGTCTAGCCTGCTCATTGCACAGAAGGGACACTGAGCCCAGGTCTCTGCCTCCAGAAGGCCCCATATGTAGGTCCTGCAGAGGCCACAGCAGCAGCAGCCCGGGCCCCTTCAGTGGCTCTCGGGTGTCGCAGATTCAGATTCCTGCGGCTCTGTTCCAGCATCTCCCCTCCCCATGTGGGCAGCCGAGATAAGCCATCTGCCAAGTGGGGAAGGAGGTGCTGGGTTGGCCCGGTGTCCAGAAAATCCCCTGCCTGCCACCCCCGTAATAACACTGGTCCTGAGAAGAATCGATACTCTCCATCAGCCCTCTCTTCTCCCCATTTCTGAAACAGAATAGCATTGTTTCCAGTCTTAGGGAAAGTGCTGCATAGACATGGTTTCAAGATACCATGTCCAGGTAGATGGTGGCCCCCAGGCCCCTCCTGTATGGATACTCTGGAGCCCTCCCTCTGGGACAGGTGGAGCATTGTCTCCAGTGTGGTGCCCTTTGGACAGATACTCAGCACAGGGTTGACGTGTGGGCTAGAGGCCACGTACACTGAGAGCCCTGGCACAGGGTCCACGAGCTCTTGAGAAGGCAGCCAAGACTCTTGGGCCAAGTGGAGCTGACCTCCAAGAGCGGCTTTCTGCCGGTGTGCTGCTTGGTCTGGAGCCATAGGCTGAGACCGGTTACCTCTTTCTTCCTTTCGTCCACTGACACGCTGCCGGCAAGATGGGAACTTTCAAGACAAGCTGGCAGAGAACACATGGGACAAAGCCTCTAGCTCTTCTCTTGGCTGCGCTGTCTATCCTGACAGTGCAGGTAGGAGAGAGAAGGGAGCCGCAGAGCAGGACAAGTGCCCTCCACACACTCGAGCTGGGGGAGCCCCAGTCAAATGCCTTTTTGCCACAGGAAGGCCAGAGTCCTGGTCCTTCCTTATTGGGAAAACAGCTTTTCCATTGCTTGTAGCTTTTGTGCAGCATCTCAGGCTAACCGTTGATTTCCTACCTTACGAGTACCAGATTTATTCCTTGTTATTCAGCCGTTGTGAGCACAGTGAGCTGGAGAGGGCTCTGGACAAGAGTGAGGTGGCCTGGCTGACCCCAAGTGCTGCATCTGTCACTAAACTCGCTGCGAGACCTTGGACATGTCCCTTTAATCTTGCTGAGCCTCAGTTCCTGTCCATGTAAAACAGTCTTATACTGGCCCTGTCAGCCACCTGAGGAGTTGAGGGTTGATTGGGTATGCCTGGAAAAGCGCTTTGGGCCTCAAATCCTTTGTGAAATGTAAATATACAAATGAATAAATGTATACCTTGGTGCTCCCCTGAGAAGGAATTATTCATAATTAATTAAATAGACTTTCTCCTGTTTGGACAGCTCCTTATCCAACTATTTGGGGCAACAGACAAACACAGCGCACAAGAGTCTACTCTTCATTGGGAACTGGGCCCTAGATGGGCAAGGTTTCTCCCAGTGTCTATACCAGACGGATTCTACATTAGGGTAGTGACGTGCTACTGGGCTTCCTATTGCCCAAGCCCCAGCTAGTAGGTGGGGGAGGTGGGACTGGATCCCAGTCTGTGGATGCTACAGCCCCGCTGTTCCTGTGGATCACATGCCCTTCCTCAGTGTAGACCCCAAAGCATGGGAGGGAGCATGGTCAAGACACTCGAGTCCCCAGGACCTCCAAGTACAAGCGAAATGTCGACATCTCCTATGAGCAGCCTCTGATCTTTGCACCCCAATGGGTGGTCTCCTTGAGACAGGAATTAGGTTTCTAATTCTTCCTCTTTGTTTCCCAAAGGGCACTGGGAACAGGTGAAGTGTGTGGCTGGGCAGATACACCGAAGTCCTACGGGAAGCGGGACCTAGAGCCCTCAGCATCAGACAGCAAGGAACCAGGACTGTTGCCAGATGCACGTGTGGTAAATTACCTGGACTCAACCCGCCCGCTGACTGGGAGGCCTCCCTTCCTCTCTTTCATCTTAAGTTTCTCACCCTACTCTGGATGGTGTGTGGTTTTTAAAGAAGGGGCTTTCTTTTTAGTTCTCTAGGGTCTGATAGCAACAGACCCGAGGCTTATCTTTGCACATTTTAAAGAAAATAAAAATGGAAAAAAAAATTCTATTCCAACAGAACAGGCTGGGCTAATGTGAGCTCTCTGCCTGGTGGTAAAGACATCGGCATGGGCAAAATCCTGTTATCAGACTGTTTCTTATGGTAACATTCCACGATGCCTGTGAGGTAGGAGTTATGAAGTAGGACAAACCCCTGCAGTCTCCTTTTCTCTGTCTACCCCCATTCAAATCTGATATACTTTCACATTCTGATAAAAGCCATAGGTGTAGCTAGGATAAAGTGGTAGGGAGGCCCAAGGCAATTGTTAGAGTAGGTTTTGAGTTTGAAGAACTAGGAGTTCTAGGTGACCTGGTAAGCTGTTTGAAGAGCAGCTGTGTGTTCTTCTCAGCCTCATTTTCTCTGTAACCCTGCTCTGCACGAGAGACTCTTGTGAACTGCAGTCAGATCTCAAAATCTCCACCATTCTGCAGTTCCACCATTAACGCTGTACACTTTTTCTGTAGTGGACGTTGTAAATAGATTATGTATGGGGGGCAAGCCTTCTCCAGCCCAAATGGCTTCCTAAAGAAAGAAGTGGTATCTTTGGAAGGGGCCGTTCAGTCCCTCCCGGCTCTGCTCACCTGCAGATTCTCCATAAAAACAACTCCAGGTGGAGCAGGTGGATGCTAGGTCACCTTAGTATAAATTAGACAAAGGTCAGGGAGAGAGTAGCAATCTATTCCTGAAGTTCCAATTCTGAGACTAGTAGAGGGGGCGGGTAAAAATGATTCCTTCCTCTCCGCTGCAGTAAGGACACGTCTTCCTGCATCCTTTGCTGTCTTTGGCCTGTGTGAGTGAATTCTTTAGCACAGATCTTCCAGCCTCCCTTGGATGCTGAGACGGCATCAATCTACATGGTTACCAAGGATCAGGATTAGGTGTTCAAAGGGGGCAAGCAGTCACTTGTTCTCTTGGTAAAGCATCTCACAGCTGAATTCTCCTTGATCCACACTGGTCCTCTAGAGTGTCCTAAAGGAAGCTAGCAAAATGGAGGCAACAGATTTGACAGTATAAATCAATCCAACAAGTCTGTTTTAAGGAGAATCAGGAAGAAGAGACGCAGCAGGGGTTTAGAATAGAACGTTTTTTCTTCCTTTTCTCCCTTCTCTCTTTGGTCTGCCTAACACTGACCTAAGATATCGGGTCAAGCGATCTCCTTGCTCAGGCAGACTTGCCAAGACGGTCGTCTAGAAGCCATGCCTGCCTCTTAAATCTGCTGGCACGAGCCCTGCTAAAGACACACCCCCAGCCCCTCTATAGAGTCTGAAATGCCCCTCTCCATCTCACTGTAGACTGACAAGTTTTACATCATGTCAACCAGATAATGTTTGCTTGATGTGAGAATTATTTCAGCAGAATGGATACAAATTTTCAAAACAGTCTTTTCATATCTATGTATTCTATATTAAAAGTGATAAAGTCATGTTTCTGGGGCGTATTCAAGTAGCTGACAAGTAATTATTTAATAATAGTACATGGAGTGCATTGTAATTATTCTTGCCGTAGTCAGGTAATAGTATCCAACAGAAATTTCCTACCAACCTGCTGTATCCAAAGTTTTGTAAAAAGTTGTAGAAGTTGTTGATCTTTTTGATTTTATATTCAAAAAGTCTCTTTTTATAAATATTATTTATTATACAATGTATATACCTTTGAGTTAACTAAGATTATATATTATATAAATATATATATATTTGGAGAAAATATATTTCATCATGCAGTTTTTTTCTGTTAAGTCATTAAAGAGAAGGTAAACAAACTTAAAATGGATACATTGTACAATGTGTGAAGTTTCCAGATTAATGCTCAGGAGGTCAAGAATATCCGATTCTGAATGTGGTGGCCTCAACTTTCACCCTTTAATTTAAAGGGTGGCCCAAATTAAGATCATTTCCTCTGTTCTCTAAGCAAGATCATCTGAGATGTCATGGATAGTAGGTCCGACCTACTATAAGACTTTCTCACAGGCTTACTTTGTTCTCAATCAGCTTCCAGCAAAGAATTTCTAGTTTTAGAAATAAGCAATTTGAACAGTGTTCATTTCATAGATTCCAGCACTTCCAATGCACAGATGAATGTCACAGACACACAAAGATGTGGCCCAAGGCCAGCAGACCATGCAGTTGGCCACTGGCTTAATCCTTTCCTCACCCATGTTTTCAACTCCATTTATTGGGAAAATGGGACTTGCTCTACTGAAAATGAAACTTGACTGCAAATTGCTCTCTCCTGCTAGCTTGAGAGCTAAGCTATAGAGGAGGGTAGGTTGGTCGGGAAGAAGAAACGGTGTGCCCTGGGCTCTGGGTTGTCCGGAATAGGTATCATTTGAAGTTTTAGATTGGTTCGGGCAGAAAGGATCCACCAGTGGGCATGCTCTAGGGAAGGGCAGTCTCTCCTTGGACTGCTCCTTCAAAAGGACTCACCTGAAGCTCACAGGTAACGCCTTCTCAACAATGAGATGTTATAACTCGGGTTTATGACAATAGACAGTCCTTTGGTCTTCAGACCTACCCATAAAATGTCACTTTTGGTTTATTTGGCACAGCTAAAATGTTTTCTTTTTCTTTCTCTTTCTCCTGGTTTACCTTTATTAGGAACAAATCTTAATCATCTCACTTCACAGAAAAAATAACAGAAAAATAAAGCAGTTTGCCTTGTGCCCCATTCAGACCTCTAACCTTAGATTAGAATTGGCTACTAGAAGTTCATGAACTTTAGTCCATGAAAAGCTTAAACCACAAAAATGGTTGTTTCAGCTGTGCAATGAATTGGACAGGGAAAGTATACAGACCTCCTCCACGTCTCACAGTCTGCTCATCTTTGCATTTCACTCTTACATAAAGCTAAGACTCATCTACCCCAGCATTCTGGGTACCTTTTTGTTTTTTAACCTATAAGATTGCCAAATATTTAAATGGTCCCTATTCATACTTACCAAGGCCATTTGTAATCCTTTCTATGATTAATCACATTCTATGATTAAAGAGAATACAGTTTATAGCAGAGCTTGAACACTTAGTTTCTCTATAAGCATAAATACTAATAAACATCCTAAAACAAGAGGAAGTTAAAAAAAAGATCCAAAGGAAAGAAAAGAGACAGTATAATGAGAAGATATCTTTCAAAGCAGTATTATTTTATGAAGAGAGAAGGGAAGGAAAGTGTGCGAGTTCAAGGATGAGGGGATGAGGTATAAATAAAGGCAAAAGGAAGGAGGAGGGTAAGGAAAAAGCAGAGAAAAGCAAAGGGAAACTTGGCGGTGAGAATATTCTAGGTGTGTCCAGTGATGGTGTCCAGCGACCAGTGGTGTATCCATGCCGGCCTGGGCATATGGACACGTACTAATGTGCATGGCTGACCTACACACACAAGTGAAGTTATTGCAGCAAAATTACAGCTGTGTGTTAGACTGTCGTTTCTCCTAGCTTAACAGAGAACTTTCTAGGAGGCAAAAAATTATCTTACCATGAATCTTACAATCCCCATGTAGGGTCACAAAGTCAGTTGTGTGGAGACTGTATGCTGGGAAAATTTCAAACCTGAGTCCTCCTTGCAAATTCTGTCTTCACTACTTGGGAATCTTGCCGATCACAGGCGCTATCTCCTGCATCTTAATGCCTCGCTGTCCGTACAGCGCACGCCCTCCTTGGGCTCAGCTCCAGGACCCAGTCTCGGCACTGCTTAGAGCTGATGAGAAACTTTAGATCATTTTGCAATAACGTCTGAAATTTACATGCTTTTTTGAACTCGCATACACACCTTTCCCAGTTACTTCTGTGAAGAGACTTATGGATCAAGTTGCCAGGCAAGGAAAATGAAATCTTGCTTTCTGTGTTTGGGCTGGGTTGGTTGTTTATAGCTGACTCAGTGCTTCAACAAGTCTGTTTACCAGGATTTGATCATTATACACACTTGAATCTACTCCATGACTTGCTGCTAAAACCTAAAGGGGAGGCTGTTCACTGTAATTATTAGGATATGAAGACAGCCTTAAAGCAAAACCTATTTCAGATTTTAATCACCATTATACAGTTTTTCTGTGTTATATCAAAAAAAAAAGTGTTTCAGTGTAGATGTACAAATTTAGAACGATAAAATAACCTCCTTTTTTGAGGTGTTAATTACATCTTCTGACAAAAAAATAGCCTGTTACCAGTTTGTGCACAGAGGAAGAGAGTGAAGGCAGCCTTGATCGGAGTCTCCTCGGTTTCATCACCAGGCCCTGCTGTCATTTCACGTGCTCCCTGCTCAGCCCTGGCTATGAAGAGGACTGGGCCAGCGTCAAGACTCCACCTTCTCAAGGGACTGGGGGTCTCAGAGTCCTCCTCCCGGGAGGTGTAGACAGCTCCTGGGGAGCCACCCTACTGCCAGAGAAGCTCTGGTGACCTCTTCCCACAGAGCCTTGCTAATTTTCTGGGCTGCCTTTTGTTCTATCCTGAGTCAACTCTAAGGATCCGAGTTTAGGCTAAGAGATCCGATAGCTCAGAAAAATGCAAAAAGGATGAAGGATACCAAAAGGAACCGGGTAAAGAAATCGCACTGAGAGTGACTGAGTCCCTTGGTTTGTACATTTCACAGGAAGGAGTAATTCCAATTGAGAAACAATTCTCCTTTCTGATTTTTACTCACCTGTTTATGGCTTTGGTACACTTTAGTTTTTAATAAGATGAAATAAGTAAAATAAGTAAAAAGATTCTTATTGTGCATTAACTTTTTAAAATATGCTATTGATCTGTTTTTATTTTTAAATAACTATACTTTATATTTTATTTATTTATTTATTTTGCTGAGGAAGATTTGCCATGAGCTAACATATGTTGCCAATTTTTCTCTATTTTGTATGTGAGCCACCGTCACAGCACGGCCACTGACAGACAAATGGTGGAGGTCCGCACCTGGGAAGTGAACCCGGGCCGCTGAAGTGGAGTGTGCCGAACTTAACCACTAGGCCACTGGGGCTGGCCCTATACTTTCTAAATAATTAAAATCAGAGATTTTTAAAGAAAAATCATTCATCTTCTGATGCTAGTTAAAACAAGGAGGGGCTTTTCTGAGCTGCCTCTTCTTCATACATTCAGAGCAGTTATATATGTTGTTTTGTACAAAACATTGTCTACAGAATGTTTTCAAGTATATGTACTCTTTATTGCATTCCTTCATTTGCATTAAACAATATAATATTTATATTTATCAATATAGTTTTGGACAAAACACAAAGACATTAACCTCATTTAACAAGAGACATAAGTTAATACCATGTGTGCTGCTTTCATGGGAAGGGAAAGGATCTAAAACAGATCAGGGAATCCACGATACTGGCCACCAGGAATCACAGAATTTCACGATACAATCCACTTTTTAAAAAGCCACAAAACAAGCTAGGGATGAAAACCCAAAACAAAGTAGATATGACATACAAGTCTACCAAAAATATACAGATAGCAAGATATGGAGATATTTGCCTTCTACCACGGAGACAAATGACAAAGCTACACCCAAGTGCCACTGTAGCAACAAGCCTCACGGGCTGTTTTAAGCACCTTCAGATGGCTTCTGATTGCTTGCCCTCGCATTTTCAGCAGCAATGGGGAGAGAGTGGCATGCTCCATAAGTCTCATCACCAAATATGATGACCTAATTAAATTCCTTCTAACTCAGTTCTAAGACAAACCACCCATTCTCCTTCCCTTTGGAAGAACTGTGTAGAGGGTAAAGGAAATGTGTTAAATGTATTAGAATGGACTAGTTAGAGGACTGAGGGGAGAGGGCTAGAAAGTGGTTCATTTTTTCTGGGAATAGTGTTTTATTTACATGATAGATAGTACAGATAATTTAAAATAAAAGAAGGATACATTCTAAGTCATTAAGCTAAGGAAAAAAGAAAAGTGGTGATACTAATAAGCCTTTAATAATATACTAAGGAACTGACCCAAGTTGGACACTAATTAGTGCTGAGAGGTTTATAAATTACTCTATTTTAATGACTCCTTTCTGTTTAGGGGTGTATGCTTTTTTCATACGTATCTTTCACAAGTTTTTACCAACATCTACCAAATGGTAATGATTAGCATATCTTTTACCACAGAGCAAATTAGTTACATTAAGGGGATGTCACAGCCACCACAGTTTAATCTGACTTTGTATTAAGCAAGATCTCCTGAATGCAACTTGGAAACATCTCTGAAAATGACTGAGAACAGCATCTTAGGAATTAAAAGCCCTGTTTCTTCAAGCAAAGGTAATAACTAGTTTTCTGGGAGAACTTTTAACCAAATACCCAATTATCCTTAGTGTTAGCACAGGGAAGTTGAAATAACTCCTTTGAACCCATACTTCTGTTCACTCACTGTTCCTGGTTTACACATAGAAAGTCTTCCTTCTAAGAGGCCAAGTGTTGTCTTGCAAGATTATTATGTTTATTGAGAGTTTTTGGGTGGTGTTGGGGGGGAGAGCTTAAAATGTGTAGTGTTCACAAGTACAGTATGTCTCCCACACTTAAAGACTGAGGAAGAAGGAATCATCTTATCTTGCACAGAAAGGTAAGCACAGCGTTCTAAAGCAAATTTGTACCTTTCACAAAACAGCAGAGTATCTCAAAGCATAAGGAAGGGAGTTTTATTGCACTAATCATGCAGAGTGAGCACGTGTTGAAGGTAGTCCAGTATCTTGAGTAAATAGAGTGAAGATCACAAGCCATCTTCACCTTGGTCACTTCCCTTGGTCACTGTGTGTTTGCAAACAGTCCATTTTCAAAGTGAAGGGGGCTACTGAAAAAGAAATATCCAAAACACAAAAAAACAGATGAGGGTCTGCAAAAAGCTATTCATCACAAAAATCACTAAAAGCTTCTTAATGGTTTTTCTATATTTTCCACTATGCATTTGCTATTTAGATGAGCATTTCCCAAAAGAAAATGGTCAGCTCCATGCATTCAAAAGCAGGTTCCAATAAATATGTACCATTGAGTTTTTTCCTGCATTGTGACAAGGAAGTTTTGCGAAGCAGGACAAGGAGAGCAAACCAACAGTACAACCAATTTCCTTGCTTGGTCTCTCAGACCTACAACACAGCGAAGAATTCTAATAAATGGAAACAAAGTTGTCCAAGAAAGGTTGACAATTCAAATTTATATGCACTGTATAGCAAGTCTCAGAATAGACACTGGGATTTAACAGAGTGGTAAGTCTGGCTGATGGTCTTAAGTGTTGTATGTACTTACGCTCCTTCTTCTCTTAAGAGGGCCAAGAATTTTCTCACACGGTATTCAGGATCCATCTAAATACATCAGAAGAAATAAAGAAGATGCGTTAATGGTACCTTCTAATAACTATGCACTTACCTCATGCCAGGGAAATGCTCAGCTTCCTACTTCTATCAGCACTCTGTGGAATCACAGAAATGATTATCTGCTCGTTGACCAGTATTCGGATACACAGCAAAGTAGATTACGTCATTCAAGAGAAGTGAAGGGGATTTTCTAGCATAGAGAATCACTGTGCACAAGGTTCCAAATGACCAGCTGGTCATTCACAGGTACCTCAACTGAGTGCTCCCTTAGCTAGCGCTGTGTGAGGAGGGAGCAGGCTTGAGAGGACCAGAGTGAGACCACCAGATGTGGCCATTCATGGGGGTTCAAATGGTATCCAATTCATAGGACTCGTCTAAGGTATAAGACAGAGACCAAGCTTGAAGAAACCAATTGAGGTTGATTAAATGACTAAAAAGTAGCTTATTAACTCTTTATTATGGACAATTAAGCTTTTTTTCGCCTTGGTCTCTCTTGCATAGTTTCTCCTTTGCAATTAACAAAAAAAAAAATTGTGCTGAAACTAAAAAAATGAACAGTGGGGCTGACTCCTCTGACATGATCCAGGCCTTCTGTGACTGAGATAAGCATGAGTCTAAGAAAAGATGGGCGAGTTTTGGTTCAGGTGTTGAGTTCAGGTCATTATTAATTATCTCTATTCACTTTCATTTTATATTCATATTTATACTAATTTGTTTAATTATATTTTATTCTCATTGGTCCACCAGAGATGTGAAGTTATCTAAAAAAGGATCATTAAAAGCATCTTTAATTCCTTAAGATGAATTTTTACTGTAAGAAACACACCTAACTTTTAAAAATTGTTCCAGGGCAGGAGTCTGTTTCCCAAGAGGGCACTCCCTGCCCTCCAGGAGTAGCTTTCAAATGCTCAGTGCAGCTGTGGGTAAATGTGCAACTGAATTGCCTCCTCTAACCACTTTTTTTTTTTTTTTTTTTAAGATTTCTTCTTTTCTATCTCAGAAAAACATTGAACAGAAGTTTCAAATGTATCAAAGTTAGGAGGTCAGACTACAAAGGACTAAGAAAAAGTGAATAGCTAACAAAACGAACATTCTCCCTCTTTGGGAATAGAATTACATATGAATCAATTGTCAAGTTCTTTAAAAAAAATGGAACTGGCTGGAGCTCAGCTGTAGTCAGTACTTGCAGGTCTTTGCCCATTAAATATATTTAATATGTGTGAGCAACGACTTACTGACTTGCCTGTAGCTATGGAATTAAAAGTCAAGAGAAAGGGAGGAAAAAAGTAATCTAGATAAATGACTTTATTCCCTCAGGTGACATCCAGTCAGAGCAGATCCTCAGCACTGTGCAAGTTTTAACAGAATCATATATAGTGAACAGAGAGGTAACATGACTTATATTCTGCTAAACTACATGCCTCTTCACTTAGGCTCAGTCTCTCTAAGGCAGATCTAAAGAGGATTCACTCAGCTGCACGAAATCCATTTGACATGAAGGGGTTCAAACTCAGAGGCCTATGAAGCGTCAGTCGCTGAAGATTAGGCCCGGGTGCCCCACTCCCACTCTCTCCCCACATACATAAGAGGCATTAACTTGATCGTGGACCTGCAGGCATCAAAGGGAGAGGAAGGGGTAGGGATTGGGGAGAAAAATCCACATAGTTTCTTCTATGCAATTATTGAAAAAAAACTGCTGAAACTAAAAAAACGAAGAGTAGAGCTATCTGACAGATTTATCTTTTTCCAAGGAAAGAGCCAATACATCTGTATATGCACGTTTACCAAGAATAATACTAAGCAAAGTGATTAGTCTGTAACTTTAATTTACTGCTCACAATGGAAAATAAATAAATTGGCTTAAAAATAGTCCAGCTGAAAGTTCAATAGATTAAACTTTAGGTTTCTGAAAGCCACAATTTTATTTTAAAATAAATTTACCAGCAAAGATTAAAAAGCATTCAGTTCGTGTTTCCAATTTATTATTGGTCCAAGAGCCTATTTCAGATGTAACAGTAAAACTTAAACTTCACCTCTGCCACCCACTGCTCACATTGATTAAATGGCAGGACTGAGCAGTAATACATAATGCTTAGAATGCAGCCAGTCTGTCCACCCAGGACCTGGGATAGATTCATTCAACCAAAGTCTACCGAGCACCCTATTATGTGTCCAGCTCTGTTCTGGGGCTGTGGATTCAATGTAAGTGAGACCAAGGTCGCTGAACTCATAGAGCTTGGTAGGGATACATTTATTATCTAACTAGTATGTCAGGTAAGGACAAGAAGACACAGGATGGGCACATGGAGGGGTGGAGTTCCCAAAAGAGGAAAGGTAAGTTGCCAGGAGACGTGAAAAAGTCCCAAAGAAGTTTCATGTCTTTGCCCAGTCAGCAGCCTGGGGCTGTTTTCTATGTGATCCTGGATGCTTCAACCCTACTGCAGTTTGCATGAAATTTCCAGGAACCCAGCCAGGGGAAAGTATACAGAGCCTAAGTCTAACCTGTACCACTCAGTTAACTTCTCCCTTTACATAGTCTCTCAGGCCCCTTTCAGTGTATGTGCAGTAGCTTCCTGATCTCTGATGGACAATGCCGTCCCCCTCCATCAAGAATTTTCTGTGACCTTGGATAACTCACTGACAACCTGTGACAGTCAGTACCCTCGTCTCTAACATGAGGGAGCAGCAGAACAATTGCTCTTTGAAGTCCTTTCTAGTTCTAAGATCTAGTGATCCCTAAATTAAAACTTAAGGTAACTTTATAATCTTTTCTTTTCTTTTTGAATTTTAAGAAGTGGGAAAGATAAGTACCAATAAGTTATTGTTTGATCTCAGAAGCAGGCTACTAATATCAACTTGAGTTTGGAAATAATATAAGAGAATTATAACATATTAATTAAAACCTTAGCAAAGGAAATATAAAACTTCTTGGTATATCATGAAACTTCTATGTTTGAATCACATGGAGAAGGAAGCACCTTACCTGTAGGGACATCTCAATCAACATTAGTAACTTCTTGATTCCTATCCAGACCTTCTTCCCTTTGACTTGCTGTGCAATTGTGGTACGTTCCTTATCCCTGAAGTTGCCCAAAAGCTACAAAAACAATAAAAATAACAAAAGCACTTTTATAGTAAGTGCATCAACAACTTTAGTTAATTCTCACATTTATCCTTAAAAGAACAGTGATAAGAACTACCCGACTGGTTCCAGTTGACAGGATTCCCCCATATTTTAAAATTCAACCTGACCTTCCTAAACCCATTAGGTGTAATTATAAAAGTGAAAACTGGTATCCTAAATCTTGTTTTCCTATAGATCTCCATTATAATTTAGAGATACATTTGCTGGGGGGAAAAATAGTAGCTCCAATCTATAATAAATATCAGTTAAAATTTTTAACATTCCTTTCTAGGAACAATCTGTATGTGTCAAAGCAGACTAAATTTAATTCTCTTACCCGACCCCAGCACAAAAGCTGCTCAAACAGGTAACCTGGAGACATTTATCATATAGATAATTTCTATTTTGTTGGGAGTATGCCCCAGTTGTATGGGTCTTGAGGATTTTAAGAAGCCTTCAATACTGCTGAACAAGTCACTAGATAATATTTTCTAACAGATCTCATCAAGTCATTTGTGCACATTGATACTAATCAAAAGTTTAATGAAGAGTATATATTTTTTTAAAATTAAAGACTTTGTCATCCTCAAAAAAATGTAAGAAAATATTTCCATAATATAAACTCTTTTTTTTTGGTGAGGAAGACTGGCCCTGAGCTAACATCTGTTGCCAGTCTTCCTCTTTTTGCTTGAGGAAGATTGTCGCTGAGCTAACATCTATACCAATCTTCCTCTACTTTATATATGGGACGCTGCCGTAGCATGGCTTGATGAGCAGTATGTAGGTCTACACCTGAGATATGAACCCACGAACCCTGGGCTGCCAAAGCAGAGCGTGCAAACTTAACCACTATGCCACTGGGCTGGCCCCCATAATGTGAACTTTTTTTTTTTTTTTGAGGAAGTTTGGCCCTGAGCTAACATTTGTTGCCAATCTTCCTCTTTCTCTTTTTTTTTTTCCTCCCCAAAGTCGCAGTACATAGTTGTATATCCTAGTTCTAGGTCCTTCTAGTTCTTCTATGTGGGATGCCGCCACAGTGTGGCTTGATGAGCGGTAAGTAAGTCTGGGCCCAGGATCCGAACCGGTGAATGCCAGGCTGCCAAAGCAGCATGCGTGAACTTAACGCCTGCGCCAC